TGCCATGAGTTGTAAGCCTGTGTTAAAATAATACCACGAACAACGTAGAAAACTTTCGGTAATATTTATGAGCCATTTTTAATCATGGTAAGGAATACAAATTAAAACCAGTCAATGACAACTAATTTGTTTTATTAAGTCTATATAGAGGAGATTTTAAAATACTTAATAAGCGCCTTCATCTTTATTAGCGATGTTAAACGTTTGCATAATGTCTACCACAAACCAATAAAGAACTATTTATTTATTTATTTACTTATTTATTCCAACGGATACACTATTTACAAAATAATATATATTTAAGCACAGTAGAATGGAAAGATAAATTGCATTTGAAATAATAAGAGAAGCTGCATATACCATTGAACAAAACATCATTGCAACAAAAAGTAATAACAACAAGATAGCAACGTAACAACAATAACAGATGATAACATTAACAAAGTATAACAACAACAAACAGACAGCATAACAGATAACAGATACTTAATAACAGAACAATTTTAATATTAAATTGGATTTCAGAAAATGCAAGTAGACTTTGAAAGTAGCAATAACAGAGATATCTCCTGAAGATTTAACAATAAACTATGATGACTATAACTCAAGGGAAGGACATATCAATGATAGGACGCAGTTTGTATCAAGGATTAGTGGGTCGACGAAAACTTTTTACTGACCGCGAGGTGCTTCATTTAGTCACGGTTTAGCTTGGAAACAGATTGTTTTGGTAGTAAAGGATTGTTTTGGTTGTTCCTACAAATTAGGAAGTCTTAGGATTTGTATGAAACAGTTGAGAACATAGCAGTGCCGGTCATTATGATGCATTGACGGGCGGAGCTGCACGGATGCTTTAAGAAGCCTGCACGCGCTCTCTTGCCGACGCCCCACACTACATCAGTTTGTTCAGTCGACTAACCAAATATATAATTAATTATAAACCTTAAGTAACATACTAAAATTTTTTTGGAATCATTTTGCGTATTTTATTTGGGAAAATATATAGAGAGTAATACAAAATTGTGTACTCTAAAACATAAACATTATGAACAAAAGTTAAAATGTTATATTTATTTTCTTTGTATATAGTTTTATAAGAAAACCTTTAGTAAAAAAATTTTAGATAAACTTATTATAAATAATACAAATCAAATTTCACTACGATGGCATGCATAGAATTTGAATTATATCCAGTAAAGTAAACGACTGTAATTTCCACGTTTGGAAGGGGTTGGGGGGAAAGCTCAAGGGGGAGAATCGGGAATTTTTTTGAAAATACACGTCTTAAGTGGTTCCATCAATTATAACGAACTCAGCCTTCCACTATTTAGCTACGAAAAAAGGCAGTTTGCGCGTTTATTGGCTGGGATAGATGCAATGACGCAGCGCAGAGGTGTCCAACTAGCCCGCACGCGCTCTCTTTGCCGACGCCCAGCTCTTCACCCGGTCACCTAGATGACTAACCAATAATATATTTGTAAACCTTGAAAAACGTACTAAAACTTTTGTTTGGACCATATTTGCGTATTATTTCAATTTAAAAGTATACATAGAGAAAAACAAAATTTTGCACTCTGAAACATAGCTTTTAACGAAGTTTAAATTTTATATCTCCCTAAGAATTGGTTTTAGAAAAGTGTTTTAAACACAAAAGTTGTAGGAAAACTAATCAGAAATCAAACAAAACAAATTGCAGCTCGATAGCTTGCATAGCATTCGAATTATGATCAATTAAGTAAAACACTGCAATTTCTATGTTTGGAGGGGGGTGGGGGGGAAAGCTCAAGGGGTAGAAGTGGGGACTTTTGGGAAAATACACCTCTCATGTGGTTCTATCACATATAAAAAATCCAGCTTTCCACCATTTAGTTGCGATAAAAAACATTTATTGACTGGGCTATTATTAGCCAAGATCCCAAAAGTAAGTCTCCAAGCTCAAAACAACAATACAATAAAAACAAACATCAAATATGCAACATATGATAACAATTATAAAAATACCAAACAGCACAACTTCTGTTTTGTTTTTATTTTTAAATCATATGTTCAAGTTTATTTTAAACGATGTTGTTTTCTTTATATTTCTACACATTTTAAGGTTAAGGTTGTGTGAATATATACAACTAAAATAACCTATAAATGTTATTGGTTCTAAAATGGTGTATTTGCATTCCTTCGTGAGTAAATTTTTTTAGTGCAGTGAATATACAACGTAGAGTAATCATATTCGATCATACTTTTATAAAATCACCAGGGATTCAAGATGTTTTGGTATGGAGGCTGCTGGATATATATTCTTTTCATTTTAAGTAGCCTACTGTAATTAATATGAACGCCAGGGGAATACCACAAAGGCGGGGAACTGGTCATAGGAATGACAGTGCGCGTAGGAGAGCAAGAGTAGATAATGACGAATTTAATCAAGATATGTTACAACCCCTTTTTAGGAGACCCATGGTAGACGAGAGAAATGTAAATATTCATGATGCAGGATTATTGGACCAAGAGTGCATTCAATGTAGTGCTCTTCATTTTAGAGAAGAACTAACGAATAATCATTTTATGACATGTTGCCATAACGGACTTATTAACCTTCCTCAGTCAAAAACTAATGTAGAACTTAAAAGTTTGTTTGAAGAGAGCCCACAACTGTATAAATTCATTCGACAATGCAACAGTGCGATGGCTTTTGCTTATTTTTCAGCCAGTAAGAAAGATATTCCAGGAAAAGGACCATACTGTTTCAAAATTCAAGGACAGATTTATCGTTCAATCTCAGATTTGCTGCCTCAACATGATGAAGACCCCGTGTATGGCCAATTGTACATTATTGACACATCAATAGCAACAGAAATTCGTCAAAGGCGTCGAGAAAATAGTGACTTAAAACCTGAAATATTGTCCAAAACTAGCTGAAATATTAGAAAATCCATTTGCACAAATTTACAAAAGAGCTTCGGAAGAAATGGTTGTACGGTACAAGGTGACAGTGAATTAGAACTTAGGTTTGTAGACAGGATAAATATGGATCGTCGTAGGTATAATAAGCCTACTGCAGATGAAATTGCAGGCGTCTTCAATTCATCTGAAGGCGAACCTCCAATGATTTTTTAAAATTCCAAACAGGGAAGCTTTTATTTATCCTCATTAACCACAAGACCAAAGCTACCTTAGTAAACCAGTATTTATTCACAAACAATGATATGTTTGCTGCCTTTTCATGTTAAACCACTGGAGTGATTCAAATTATTTATTGAAAATGACATCAACAAAAGCAAACAAAGAAGAACAACAAACTGGTTTTTACACAAAAGATATGGTGTAGGGATGCCTATTCTGACACATAGATAATGTTATTCTGAGTTTGTTTAAATACCGGTATTGCAAAATGTTGTTTTACATTTGAGCTTTTTAGGGACTTATGTCCCTACAAGCCACTAGTTTGGTAGAATTCAGTAACTACCAATAAATGTGTGTTGTTTGAAATACAATTTAAAAACGAACAACTGTTTCATTTAAAAGTATTATTCACATGGCCAAAATGTAAACAACTCTGTGGAGGGATCTTTAAAGGTTTCTGGGGCGGAGTCTTACGGGATTTTTCTAAGTTTTTGTTTTGATATCTCATCTATAGACCAAGACCTTTCTTTGGACACCTCTACCGAGTTTCTACGCCCAGCCGTTCTCTCAAATTAGTGGGGACAAAGTTTCCAATTAAATATTTAGATTCCCCCATGTTAATCTTATGGGAGAAACTCCAACTTTGATGGCCAACTTTGTGGGGCAAAGCCCGAGGATTTTTATTACAGGAATTGGTGAAAGGGGGTGTCTACACAAAAAATACTTTATTTTGACACGTCGTTTGTAAAAATCCGTCCATTATTAACGGAGGAGTAGTGTTTTGTAGAAATCGCCTTCACGTATTATATATATAATATATATAATAAGGATTGTGTCAATATTAGCATATTACAAAGAGATTTTGTATTTTTCTAACTCTTGTTTAGATTCTCCGTCTGTAAATGACTCATGTATGGAGTAGTTATAACGGAAAAATTAAAGGTATATTTTCCTCTACTCTGGCCAGTTCCTGAGAAGATTTTAATGAGATGGAATCTCCCTTTTCGTTTTGTTTTTCCCTAGTTTTACCAATGTTTTTGTGCTCTTTTACAACAAAGCTTTTCTGATAATTTTTGTTATTTTAACGAATTTCCCTTTAGGGATCAGTAGCTGAACCCATCTGAAGAACCATCCTGAAAGCCCCTTGGTATGTATCCAACGTCACCATTCACAATCATTGCAAAATTCCATTTGTTACTGAAGAAGTTACGAGCTGCAGTAAAAAATACATCTCAAAGCTTGAGTATCATCCGAACCATTTGGCCCTCAACCTCCTAGACAACAGTCAACATGTCTACAGACTAAAAAGAGAAAATGTTTTAGACCTTTTCGACTCGATTTGTACAGCAGCTCTGAAATTTATTTTCTTTCTTTTTTTTAGTGCTAAAGCTGTTTAGCTGCTAACTCATGCATTTCAATTTTTATTTTATCGTTAAAAATGCCATCATATTTACTTATTGTTTAATGCAAAACAGATTGTAAATAAAACTATGTAAAAAAAGGATCAGTAGCTATTACCGTAGATAGATCAGTAAAACCTAGACCCATAACCGTAAATTTATCATTTCGATGTCCCCAGAGGCTAAAAACACTATTTGTTCAAATTTGTATATATGTATATATGAGTGTATGTGTGTGTCCGTGAACGCAATAACTCGATTAATTTTCGTCTGTAGGTGTTTGGATGGATAAACTTGAGTGAGTTTGCGAGCAGCAAGATTGGGTATGTAGTATGGCAACTACTTAAGGTAATTTCAGTACCGGTACATTATGTGAAAGTGTGTTTTTTTTATATATGAACTTCAATAAATATGAATGTTAAGATTGAGATGATGTCATTAATTTTTATCTAGATAATTTTCTTCAAACCAGCTAATTACCTGTATGTAGAGGGTAGGTCCATAGTTGGAGCCGAGCTTTTTGTCTCCATAACCGCCTGGCCACGCCCTCACGAAGCTAGGGTCTGCCAGCAGAGAGATAGGCTTCAAACTAGGCCCACTGAAGTATGAACCGACAGGAGACAGGATGGTGTAGAGCAGTGCAGACTCAGACATAGCAACACCCAGAGTCGGCTGCAATCACAATATGGTCTGTTTTAAATAAAACTGAAAGATGTGACAAAACATGTTAAATTCAAACACCAGGTTATTCGAAACAAGTGCAATAGCAGAGGTTTATGTTGTTGACCAACATGTTTCCCAGAAAATGAGAGCTGAACTTTTTTTAGAAACTGAAATACAAGTGAGTCTTAGCCATGCGTTCTTCGGTAATCCAATCTTTCCTGTTATTCATATATATATATATATATATTACCCTCCTTGCGGACGATCGAGGGTTGCTGTTTCCCTGTTGTATCACTGTACACCGTAGCAGGCCTAGTTGGAGTCCTACATTGTGCCTATATTTAGTTACCATACCATTAGTTACCTCCTCTAGGTTATAAGCTCTAAAATTACACCTCAATCATAAAACTTGGTTTAGTAGGACGCCTTAAAAAGGGCTGGCATAGAGGAAACCCTTATTGTGTTAATTATATAGAATTGTATATTATTTTAAAATTGCTTACTGAAGTTCTTCAGGGAACAAAGTCTCTCTTGCACTCTAAATACACGATTATTGTTTGTGTAGTTTGGAACCAAAGTGTTTACTTTTCCAAATGTCACTATAGAGTCTTAACATTTATATATTTTAACCTTATGTATTCAGGCGTACCAAAATCCAATTACACCAAAGATGGGCGATTGTTTTGAGTCTTACTTCAACATTTAAAAATCTATAAGTATAAAAGAGGATGTTTGTATATATATATATATATACACAAGCTGCTATACCCGTGCTTTGCAACGGGAAGAAAATGTGACCTGGAGAGCTATTAAAGTAATTCTGATATGTGTTTTGAAATACGGCAACTCTATGATTTAGTTTGAAAATATAAACTGATTTAAAAGTGTAAACTTACTTACTTTCAACCCCTACTTCTTATGTTAATAGATCCAAAAGAATATGACAACATACCTTAGTGTAGCAATAAACATGAATTGCTTCATATTGATGCTTCACGAATGACATGTTTTACCATAATGTATTCTTCAACTTTAGTCAAGCCTCTTTACATGTAGCTTACTATATAAATTACAGAATGAAACTTTGAGCAATACTTTACAAAACGTATACAACCTTTCTTTTAAACCAAACATAACCCTCCTAAATCTACATAAAGCGTCACAAACATATTTTTCGAGTAAATAAACAAACACCACTTCATTGTACTGACCAGCTGTTTCATTACTGAATCTATATATATAATTCCGTAAGTCAAATTTTTGTAAAGAAATTGTGAGTGACTGGATGGCCGTAGAAGGATGGGAGGGGTCTTATTTTAAAGGTCTTGACGTGAATTTTGAGGGAAAACTATTCATTTTTCTTATTTTTTTACCATAAATTCGCAACATAATAAAACTTTTCCCATTAAAACAACATGGGGTTTAATTTGTTTACATCTTTTGAAATTAAAACAGCTGTGCCACAGATTTGAAAACAGTGATCAATACACGCATTTGGTTTACTTTTAGCCAGTCAACTATGAAATGTATACTATAATAAAACTGAAATATTGAAGATTAGTCGGAAAAACGTCTGCATTCTTTGTTTATATTTAAATCATATAGCCTACTCAAGTTTTATTTTTTCATGCTTTTACGTTATTGTCGTGTTAAAGGAATAAACGACATAGAATAACTGTATAAATAATCAAAGAGTCGAAATTAAATCTAACTTCTGTTTTGTTTTTATTTTTAAATCATATGTACAACTAAAATAACCTATAAATTGTATTGGTTCTAAAATGGTGTATTTGCATTCCTTCGTAAGTAAATTTTTTCAGTGCAGTGAATATACAACGTAGAGTAATCATATTCGATCATACTTTTATAAAATCACCAGGGATTCAAGATGTTTTGGTATGTAGGCTGCTGGATATACAGGGTGTTGAAAATGTCTGGAACCAACATTATATCTCGTGAGTGGTTAAAGAAAAACAACTGATATTTTGTGTACGGATATACTATGGTTTTACCTATCTTTTAGTGCCTTATGAAAATTTTTACCACTTATAGGGAACGTCCTGCGGAGGATGCAGTAAAAAGTTTTAATGGAAGCCTATGGTAAATGATACATCATTTTAAAGGCCATTTTTTTCTGAGTAAGGAGCCACAAGTTTCACCTCAAAAGGACCACCCTAGCAAAAATGGCGACTGTTTGAAATTTAAAAAACCACTTATAGGGAACGGAATTTTTAAATTTCAAACAGTCACCATTTTCGCTAGGGTGGTCCTTTTGAGATGAAACTTGTGGCTCCTTACTCAGAAAAAAATGGCCTTTAAAATGATGTATCATTTACCATAGGCTTCAATGAAAACTTTTTACTGCATCCTCCACAGAACGTTCCCTATAAGTGGTTATTTAAATTTCAAACAGTCGTCATTTTTGCTAGGGTGGTCCTTTTGAGATGAAACTTGTGGCTCCTTACTCAGACAAAAAGGGCCTTTAAAATGATGTATCATTTACCATAGGCTTCCATTTAAACTTATTACTGCATCCTCCACAGGACGTTCCCTATAAGTGGTAAAAATTTTCATAAGGCACCAAAAGATAGGTAAAACCATAGTATATCCGTACACAAAATATCATTTGTTTTTCTTTAACCACTCACCAGATATAATGTTGGTTCCAGACATTTTCAACACCCTGTATATTCTTTTCATTATAAGTACTGTAATTAATATGAACGCCAGGGGAATACCACAAAGGCGGGGAACTGTTCATAGGAATGACAGTGCGCGTAGGAGAGCAAGAGTAGATAATGACGAACTTAATCAAGATATGTTACAACCCCTTTTTAGGAGACCCATGGTAGACGAGAGAAATGTAAAGATCCATGATGCAGGATTATTGGACCAAGAGTGCATTCAATGTAGTGCTCTTCATTTTAGAGAAGAACTAACGAATAATCATTTTATGACATGTTGCCATAACGGACTTATTAACCTTCCTCAGTCAAAAACTAATGTAGAACTTAAAAGTTTGTTTGAAGAGAGCCCACAACTGTATAAATTCATTCGACAATGCAACAGTGCGATGGCTTTTGCTTATTTTTCAGCCAGTAAGAAAGATATTCCAGGAAAAGGACCATACTGTTTCAAAATTCAAGGACAGATTTATCGTTCAATCTCAGATTTGCTGCCTCAACATGATGAAGACCCCGTGTATGGCCAATTGTACATTATTGACACATCAACAGCAACAGAAATTCGTCAAAGGCGTTGAGAAAATAGTGACTTAAAACCTGAAATATTGTCAAAACTAGCTGAAATTCTATTAGAAAATCCATTTGCACAAATTTACAAAAGAGCTTCGGAAGAAATGGTTGTACGGTACAAGGTGACAGTGAATTAGAACTTAGGTTTGTAGACAGGATAAATATGGATCGTCGTAGGTATAATAAGCCTACTGCAGATGAAATTGCAGGCGTCTTCAATTCATCTGAAGGCGAACCTCCAATGAATTTTTAAAATTCCAAACAGGGAAGCTTTTATTTATCCTCATTAACCACAAGACCAAAGCTACCTTAGTAAACCAGTATTTATTCACAAACAATTATATGTTTGCTGCCTTTTCATGTTAAACCACTGGAGTGATTCAAATTATTTATTGAAAATGACATCAACAAAAGCAAACAAAGAAGAACAACAAACTGGTTTTTACACAAAAGATATGGTGTAAGGATGCCTATTCTGACACATAGATAATGTTATTATGAGTTTGTTTAAATACCGGTATTGCAAAAAGTTGTTTTACATTTGAGCTTTTTAGGGACTTATGTCCCTACAAGCCACTTGTTAAATTAAATCATGTAAACTTTGGAAGCATGCCAGGCGTAGCCCTTTGGAAATCAGCCTGTGGGGCAGAGCCCTTAGGAAGTTTGTCCATATAAATACTTTTCGGCAAATCTAAACACTCTAAGGTTCATTTTGATGTGCCATATGCCTATATTTTTATTTGGTAAATGGTCTTAACCGTTTACATAAAATTTGATTGTATCACTTTAATCAGACACCGCTGAACCGATTGCCACGAAACTTGGAACATACGTGTAGAATTTCATGGAATAGGTTTATACACCCTCAATTTCGTGATCCGTCCAATCGGCTCCGCCCCAGTGGCTCTGGAGTTTCCCATGTTAACCTTATGAGAAATGGAATTAATGAATCTTAACAGCTGTTTCAATTAAACAAGTTGGTTCTGTTCTATGATGTTCAATAGCATTAAAGTTACAAGGATTACCAACAGGGTGCAGCACTATTATTTCTTTTACATTTATGACAACAGCTAATTTGCAACCAAAAGGTGAGTGAGCGTAGCGAACGAACTTCAACATGTAGGCGACTTAGCGTAGCGAACGAGCTAACCTGAAGGCAAGTAAGCGCAGCGAACGAGCTCCAACCTAAAGGTGAGTGAGCGTAGCGAACGAACTTCAACCAGGACGTGATTGAGCCATGCGAACGAGATCATCTTGAAAATTAAGAAGTTAAACGGGGCAAAGCCCGCGGGTTACTGCTAGTATATCTATAAAAATATAATCAATATTTTAATATTTTAACCCCATATATGTTCACACTCCTCAACAATATTGACTAAATTCCCACGAAAATAGTTCACAAAGATCAGCAATATTTCCCCCTCATTTATGGCTTCCAATTCACTTCATGTAGTCAAGCATAGTATGTCACCAATTACAAAAAAACTTAAAAGATTACACCGAATATGCAGCGAAGGGCACACGAATAACAAACGCAATAGACCCAAGAGAGGATAAAATAAATTGTAAAAACAAGTTGTTGGAGGTGATTAACGACGTAATGGAGCTGAACGAGGTGACTGGAGATCACATCGCAAGGGCTCATCGTCTTGGCCATCGAAAAGGGAAACGTCCGATTATTGTCAAGTTTATTCACTACGGCATTATAGAAAAGATTCTCGAGGCTAGAAGCAAATTAAAGGACACCGACATTTT